TGGAGGGGGGGGGGGGGTTATAAAAATGTTGACATAAGTACTGGGGGGGGGGTCATTGAAATGTTGACAGTTTTTTTACAAAGGGGGGTAGGTGTCAAAAATTGCTTTAAAATCGTTGACAAATTAATGGACACCCCCTTTTACTATATTAAAATCCATGAATTAATAATTATTTTTTTTTTTATAAGTAAAGAAAATGCGAACATCACAATAAGCTGTCAAAATGTCAAATGACAAGTTGCTGTCACAATTTCATGACAAGATGCCGTCAAAATTCCCACGTGTCAAGATGCTGACAAGATGTCTTGACAAGATACTGTTAAAATGGCATGTCAAGAGGATTTTAAAATTTTCACGAGGACAGATGCTGTCGAATTGCCATGACGAGGTTCCGTCAAAATGTCAAATGACAAGAGTTTGTCAAAATTTCATGACGATATGCTATCAAAATGCCAGCGGGATAAGGTGGTGACAAAATTTAACGTACTTTAAAACATGAAATGGGCTTTGGAAAATAAAAACGTAAATTCATTTAAACATTTTTTGAACACGAATAATTTTTTCATCATCGGGGGAATTAAGTTAATCGCTGAAATAGATTTGTATAAAAATCTATGTAATGTTAACGGACATTCAGAGGCGTAGCGTGGTGGGGGCAGGGGGGGCAGATGTCCCTGGGCGCCAGCTAGTTAGGGGCGCCAAAATGTGCTTTGATATTATTTTATTGATGAAAATAATGGGTTTTAGAGTTGAAAAAAAAGAAAAAGGGGCGCTAAAAATGGATATTGTCCCGGGCGCGAATCTTGTCCCCGGGCGCCAAACACCCTCGCTACGCCACTGCGGACATTCAATCCAGAGATCTGAATATAATATACTCTCTTCACTATTTATAGTTAGAACGGAAGTTAAGTACAAAAAAAAAATCAGTGAATTGAATCGAAACCGGAGGTATCCATTCCAGCAGCTCTCGTTTCCAGTCACATGACACATTATCATGACGTCAAGCCTAGCACACATATCAACAAGTTTAAGTCCTTAGACATTTTGAGCTGTTAATACATAGAAGAGCAAATAGTTAAATTCTTGCACATTGTATAACATGAAAATGTTTCAAACAAAGTTAATGTTATTGAAATGAAATGTTTAGGATTAAGTTTAAAACTTTCCGGGAAGAAAAAAAATACATGTCAAATATTTGAACTCTGTAATCGCATTCCACTGTAAGAATACTTTGACAAAAACTTTGTTTGAACGTCGTACAGGGGACATCCTGATGGTGTGCTGATGGTAATGGGGATCAAAACCCAGCAGTAGAGTTCTTCTTCACTGTGGCTAGTGGGGGTCAAAGTTCACTTGAAAAAATTTTAGGTTCAAAGTTAACTGGGGCTAGTTAGTGGGGTCAGAGGTCCGCGGGAACTTCGGCGTCAAAGTTAACTGGGGGTAGTTGGGTCAAAGTTAACTGGGGATGGTAGGGTCAAAGTTAACTGTGAATAGTGGGGTCAAAGTTTGGGGATGGTAGGGTCAAAGTTAACTGGGGATAGTGGGGTCAAAGTTAACTGGGGACAATGGGGTCAAAGTTAACTGTGAATACTGGAGTCAAAGTTTACTGGGGATAGTGGGGTAAAAGTTAACTGGGGATAGTGGGGTCAAAGTTAACTGTGAATAGTGGAGTCAAAGTTAACTGTGAATAGTCGAGTCAAAGTTACCTGGGGATAGTGGGGTCAAAGTTAACTGGGGATAGTGGGGTCAAAGTTAACTGTGAATAGTGGGGTCAAAGTTAACTGTGAATAGTGGAGTCAAAGTTAACTGGGGATAGTGGGGTCAAAGTTAACTGTGAATAGTGGGGTCAAAGTTAACTGTGAATAGTGGAGTCAAAGTTTACTGGGGATAGTGGGGTTGAAGTTAACCAGGGATAGTGGGGTCAAAGTTAACAGGGAATAGT